TTGTATGGACTGCATAATAATTGAGGCACTTCTGTATTGCTGGTTGTTGGGTTGGCCCATGGGCCATGCCCAAACCTTTTATCATTTGTAGCGAATTTAGATTGGCCATGGGCCCTTCTCTACCCTTTTAGTCATGTTTTCTTCTTCCTCCACAGCTTCTCCAATTCATTCATCAGCATCAGCTATCAGCCTTTTTTTTTTTTTTTTTTGAACAGCAAAAGTTCCATTACTATCCTGAGTACAAGGGGTACTCAAACCCTTTTACATTAACATCAACCAAACTCATCAAAGAACAGGAATAAGCACAATTAGTGTTACTACCATCTTTCTAACCCCTCCTACTTCACTCTAGTAAGGCATGAGGCAGGGTTAATTAGCCAGTCAGATAGATTGAAATAACACTTGCCTTTCCTAACTTTAATCCATGTAAATGACCTTAACTGAATAAGTTCCAAAAGTTTGATCAAGTTTACCTCGACGCTGTCGAAGATCTTTTTGTTTCTTGCCATCCACACTGACCATATGACTGCGTTCCAAATACAGTCCCACCCTTCTCTTTTGTGTGACTTTTTGGTCCAGGCGCCAAAGAGTTGAAACGTCCTCTTGCATTCATTTTGTAATTCAACTTTGATGCCCCACCAGTTTGCGCAAGCTCTCCACAACCATTTGGCTATTTTGCATTTCAAGAATAGGTGGCTGGAATCTTCCTCTTCCTCTTCACACAGAACACATTTCCTTTCCTCCCTCTCCTTTATGACCCCACGTTTAAACAAGTTTAGCTTGGCTGGTATTCTATCAAGTAATACCTTCCAGTTGAAAGCCGCTACTTTGGTTGGGATGCTAGGATTCCATACTCTTTTATACATTTCTGCTTCCTCCTCTTCCCTCCTTTGTTTTGTTAATATTGCGTAAGCTGTTGCCGTTGAGTACTCTCTGTCGGTGCTGTGTGTCCACTCCCATTTGTCAGCGCTCCCTGGGGACATTTTCACTTTCTCAATCATTTTTTGAAGTTCTGTTGCTGCCTCGTCTTCCCACTGATGCAAGGTTCTTCTCCATGTCAAGTTCCATCTCCATGTGCCATTGAGAGCCCTTCCCATTTGAAAGCATTCTTTGTCTTTACCTGTAGACCAGGTGTACAATCTAGGGAATTTATTAGCCAAGCAGATCTCCCTACACCACTCATCCCACCAGAAGCTCACTCTTTTCCCCTCACCGACCTTAATCCTAAAACCCTCCAATAGCCATCCTGCATTCCCCCCATCTCCAGCATTTAAATTTAGGATGTCTCTCCACCATGTTGATCCTCCACCACTCCTATCCCTTACCCAATCCAACCAATGCCCTCCATTCTCCCCGTACTTACTTGATATCACTTTGCTCCATAGCCCCTCTTCCTCTTTTGCTAACCTCCCCCACCATTTACCCAACAACGCCATATTGAATTTCTTCAAATCCTTCACTCCTAGACCTCCACACTCCTTTTTCCTGCATACCCTCTCCCAATTGACTCAACTGATTTTTTTCCCCTCCCCCATCCCTCCCCATAAAAAATTCCTGCGTATTTTATCTAAAGAGAAGAGAATACCTTTGGGTATTTTGTAGGCTGACATCAGGTACACGGGTAGGCTAGACAGCACAGAATTTAAGAGAGTAATTCGTCCTCCCAGAGATAAGTTTTGCCCTTTCTAGCTAGCAAGTTTCTTTTTAAAGGTGTTCACCAGTGGTTGCCACATTGCTATCCTCCTGTGATTCCCTCCGACTGGAGTTCCCAAATACTTAAAAGGAAGTTCACCTGCCTTGCAACACAATCTGTAAGCCATCCTCTCCTTCCAACCTTCCTCGGTCCCGACCCCCATTATCTGACTCTTGCCAAAGTTGATTTTCAGTCCCGACACCAATTCGAAGGTCTTCATGATACTTTTTATTGCTTGAATATTTTCTTCCGAAGCCTCTCCAAAGAACAGTGTGTCATTAGCAAATTGGAGGTGTGATACTGACAAGTTCCCGTTTCCAATCCTTACCCCTCTGAATATATTTTTCTCAATGGCAGATTGCATTAATCCATTTAGCCCTTCTGCTACTAATAGAAATAGGAAGGGAGAGAGCGGGTCACCTTGTCTTATCCCTTTGCTAACCGGGAATTGCTGAGTTGGGCTTCCGTTCACTAGGATCGAGACCATACTCAATTGTAAGCATTCCTTAATCCAGTTTCTCCAAGTGACTGTAAAACCTGTCCTCATAAGCATATAGTCTATAAAATCCCAGCTAACCTTGTCATAAGCTTTTTCAAAATCCACTTTGAAAAGAAAACTCTTCTTCCTCTTCCTTTTTCCCTCATCGATCACCTCGTTTGCTATCACCACTCCGTCCATCAACTGTCTACCTTCTATGAATGCCATTTGCTGCTCCCCGATGATCTTTTCAAGAACTTTCCTGAGGCGATTTGCTAGAAGCTTAGCTAGGATCTTGTACATAACTCTACTGAGTGATATAGCTCTGTAGTCTTCAATTTTATGGGGGTTTTCAACTTTAGGGATCAAGGCGATGAAGGAGGAGTTGGAGCCTCTAACCAGCTTGCCATGCTCATGGAATTCCTGTACGAATCCAATGACGTCCTGTTTTATTTCCTCCCACATTGCCTTTATGAACCTGAAATTAAAGCCATCCGGCCCAGGAGATTTAGATGAGTCGCAATCCCACACTGCGTTTTTAATTTCCTCTTTTGAGAAAGTGGCTGTCAGAGAATCATTGTCTGATTTGTCTATCTGTTTAAAGCTGATGCCGTCTAGCTTTGGTCGCTGCCACTCTTCTTCCGAGAATAACTCCTTGAAATAATTCTTCACGCCTTCCTTGATCTCATTCACACCTCTACATTGCTCTCCCCCAATCTGAATACTGTTGATTTCATTTCTTCTTCATCTGCCCTTCACACTTCTATGAAAAAACTTTGAGTTGGCGTCCCCTTCTTTCAGCCACATCTTTCTGGATTTTTGCTGCCACATACTCTCTTGAATCTTCATGTACTTCCAAAGATCCAGGAATCCATTCCTTCTTTTCTCAATGTCTTCTTCTGAGAGTTGGTTGTACTCTTCTTTTTCATCCATTTCAGCTATGGTCCTTTCTGCTTCAATTATTCTTCTATCAACTTCAGCTATGTGATAGCACTCCATTCCTTCAGGGCTTTTTTTGTTTCTTTCAGCTTCTCCTTAAGTCTGAACCCCTTCCACCCCCTCACCTCTACAGATTTCCACGCTTTGCTAATTACTTCCTTGCAATTAGAGTGTTCCAACCAAGCATCAAAAAATTTAAAAGGTTTTGGGCCCCAGTCTATCTTTTCATTTTTCAAGAGTAATAGGCAATGATCAGATACTGATCTTCCTAATCCCCATTGTTTTAAGTCATTCCACTTCTCCAAGCATTCTTCCGAAACCAAAAACCTATCTATCCTGCTCATATGCTGTCCATTTGGACTATGCCAAGTATATCTTCTACCCGCCAGTGCTAAATCAACCAGCCTAGTGACATGGATAAAGCTATCAAACCCCCTCATTTCCCTGGTTATCCCGCTACATCCTGCTCTATCCCTTACTGTTCTTGCTGCGTTGAAATCCCCCCCCCCCCAAAAATCCAATTGCCTCTTTTGCTAGTGATAAGCTTTCCCAGCTCCTCCCATAGTACTCTTTTTCCTTCTAAATGGCATGGAGAGTAGATATTAAGGATGTGGATAGGCATCAAGTCCTCCCCCCATAACCCAAACACCCCCGTGAAGTGTTGCCCCTCAATCACCTTTGTCTTTTTGAACACATTAAAATCCCAAATACACAGCAATCCTCCAGACAAGCCTTCTGATGGTTTATAAATCCAGTCAAACTCGTCAGACCCCCATAACCATCTACAAGTTCTTCTTTCAACTGCCTCCATTTTTGACTCTTGAATAGCTAAGAATTCTACTCCCTCTTTTTTTACTAGTTCTCTTATTTTCCTTTTGTTCCCTCTCCCTCCTAACCCTCTGATATCAAAAGATAGTATGATCATCAGAATCTCTACTTACCTTCTTAGCGTCATCTACCACTCTCTTCACCATATCTACTTTGCCTTGTCTATCTCTGCCCTTCATTTCTTCAAATTTCTGCAGAATCTCTTCTTCGTTTTCTGCTGTGACGCCCAATCTTTTTGCTAGATCCCATATGTCTTTTGCCAGCTGATTTTGTAGCTGCTTCCTCAAAGCTCGGTTGCAATTTTGGATCCCGCTGTCACCAACCGATTCACCCGCGACCTTTCCATCTAGACTCACACTGAATTCCGGCACCCCCGTTCCCCTCACTGGTTTCATCTTTTGCCTTTCACACCTTTTCCCACTCTGGATTCCTTCCCCTGTTTTTCTCGCCTTGAAATAGACCGAGCTACACAGGCGAATCTTCTTCTTCCTTTGTAAGACACCTTCCTTGCTTCTTTGCATGCAGATCTGCATCTATTCGTTTACACTTGCACAGTCCTGCCCGTTGGGATCTCCTTGTTCTTCATGCTGCTGTTCTTCTTCGCTGCAAAATATTGCTGCGTTCCTTTCTCCCGAATGTTCCTTTACTTTCTCTGATTTTGACTTTGAACACCCTTCATTAATATCCAGCCCCACACTTAAGGAGTCCACATAGCATGGGCTATCTTTTTGAGAGATGGGTTTCCCAGTAAGGCCCAACTTAGATCCCTTTTGTAAGCCCAGTCTCTTTTTTCCTGTTTTAACCGACTGCCCTGCCTTGTCTCTACTTCCCGCCTACTGCTTCCCTTTCTCTTCACTTAAACTTATTTTATCTTTGTTCAAAATTTGAATCTGCTCCAGGCTGTCCGCCACATTCTCAACTGTCTCTTCCTCCTCCTACAGACCGTTTCTAAGGAACACTTCGTACGGCTCCCCTTTGTTGCATGCCACATCATCGTCATCATCCTCATTCTTGGCTGAGACATCCTTCCCCTGTTCTTCCGCCCCTGCACCTTTACTGGCACAATCCTCCTTCTCACTGTCCATAGACCATGATTCTTGTTCCTCTGAGTCGCTATTGAAATGGGGGATGAAGTCCTGTTTCAGAGAGAAGAAAATATTGGTAAATTCCTCCTCTGTGAACTTGAGCTTATATACGGACTCGTCGATTTTGATTTGTCTCATTACTGAAATGGTGTTCATAATTGGAGTCGAGATTAAAAATCTGGCTATGTCAAACCTCCTCCTATGACTTGTGCTGTCATCTAGACAGATGAACTTGCCCCATGAGCACCCCATCGAAGCAAAGAATTTTGGCCCCCAGATGTTTAACGGAACACCTTGACATCTGATCCAAACGAATCTTTCTTTCGCTACCAGATCTGGGGTCCAAGGGCACACCTTCTCGAACCATTGGCCCAACCATTCTGATGCTGATTTAACCAGGACTTTCAGCTCTTCCTTATCCTCGCAGTCCATTAGAACCAATCTTCCCCCAATCGCTCGAATTCGATAGGAGAAATGCCCTTCCATGTAGAATTTTTCCTACAGGTTTCTAACCATTTCAACCGAGTGAGTCGTGCCCACATAACAGCCTTCCAGCCATGCGGTGTCTTCTTGATTAGTGTTGTATTCAAACCCGGCCCAGGAATCTATCCTTCCTTTCTCTTGCCATACTCGCCTGTTCGATTGTTGCCCTTTCAGAACCTCAGCGTAGCTCCTGTTTCATACTTGTGGCTCCGAGATAAATCTGGGTTTTGTTTCCCTCCTTTCTTGCTGGTTGTCTTCATATCTTGGAGAGTTTACCCATAGTTTGCAATCACCGATCTAGATATTATCTAGTTTTCTTTCTAGCTCTTCTCTATTCTTCACATCAAGAAATCTGAAAAAACCAAACCTGCCACCATTTCTGCTTCTTCTCTTTGGACTGTAAATGGCATATACCCTCCCGAATTTCAGAAACGTTCTCCACATGTCTTCGTACATCCATTCTTCTGGGAAATTTGTGAAAAAATAGGGGATCGCTTGTTTGTACAAGCCCCAGTCATAAGAATCCCCTAGCTTTCTTTCAACCGCCTGATTCTGCTTGTACTGCTTCTCCCTTAACTGGTCTGGTGCCCTCCTTCTCTACTGGTTTCTCTGCTGAGTTTTGACATTCTCTTCACTCTGTGCCGTCTTCCTAGCCCGTGTCCGGCGGTCGCCTTCTCTCGCTCTCGCTCCGCCTCTCTCTCTCTCATCGCTCTTTCCTATTACGGCCCTAGTGTAGCGCATCAGCTATTAGCCTATCACAAACTCATTCGAAATGTTACTCTTAAAATCATATGTAACCACCAATAGTCATGGTTCATAGTTGACTCACTCATCATGAAGCCTTTTTCAATAACTGCATAGCAACAAGTTGAAGCATACTGATTCAACCACTCGTCACAGGAACACATCAAAATTATTGTATAAAGTAAGATAAAATTGTAGGTGAATCATTTTTTAATTATTTTACTCTAGATATTTTTTTTAGTATATGAGCACTTTTGATCCAATTGACTGAAATTGTGGATGTTATCATCTTGTGTCTTAGGCATAGATTAGCAAATCCTTAAAACTTGAAATTAGAAAATAATTAAGAAAAACTACATATATAAATCTCTCTCATTACAGAAAATGCCGTGTCATAGTATTTATATTTTTATAATACTAATCAACTAACGATCTAATGTACTGTAGGAATGCATGCTGCATTGATGCAATCAATGACACTGAAATTGAAGAGATCTTGGATGAGTCCAAAGCCTCAAAACTATTAGAGATGTGACTGTCAATTGAAGTAAACATTGCCGACTAAGCTCAACCAATTGGCCTCCTTATAGCCATTAAAAAGCAATTTTTTCAGTTAAATGCTAATTATGGTACCTCAACTTTAGGCTTTTATATAATTTCCATACCTTAACTTTTTTATATATTTTTTTTGTCCTTATCCATGAAAAATATACTATTTTAGTCTTTCTATCTCTAAACTTTTAACTTAAAGGAAACAAATTATGCAAAATTCTAAAGTTAAAAGAGTAAAAATATGTATATATTGATAAATTTAACTTATTAATTAATAAAATTACTAAAAAATACAATTTTAATAGTTAAGGGATCAAAATTAACATTCAACCTCTTTTTTTTTACTGTTGGTAGAAACAATTTTCCTCTTTTAAATTCCCTGAAACCCTTTCAGGTACTGTTCAAAAAAAAATTCCCCGATACCTCACCTCCTCACCTCTTTCAACTCTAACCCTAACCCTCTTTACATCCCAATCAAATAATTGGTGGCCTTATACACAATACTGAAGATATTTTGAAGAAATGGGATATAGCTTTCAATAATTGCCAAACACCTTTATGGTGAATGTGAAAAATACACCAAGAAATCTATTATCTATTCATTTGTTCTCTGTACCTGATGGGGTTGGAGACTTTGAGAGGGCAGGGAGGATGCGGGGGTCATTAATCATTTCTCTTCTTTTTGCTGCCATTTCTACCTCATTTATGTACTTAGGGAGGGGTCCCCCGCAGCTAGTCAAATGTGTCATATGGTTCCAAGAGACAAGGATTGTTATTGTTTGAACTCTAGGGCACTGTAATTGGTTTCTTGTCAAATATGACAACAAAAGTTGAGACTCCCAATGTGTTCGATATGTAAGGTTAAAGACATAACCTTTCCAAGCTTTTCTGCACCACAAGATGTTCTGCAATGGTGTTGTACAATTACAAATGAAGAAGAATCCTTTGTTATCTTTCCCCTATTTTTGGTAGCTTTGATGAAACCAAGAACTAGTTTAGATGCATAAAAACACTACAGTTTTGAGCAATAGGTTAAAGTGCTTTGAATCTCATGGTGACACTAAGTTTGAATTCAGTACTTTTTCACTTTTTTTTACCTATCAAAGTGTGAGTCTGGAAGAAAATTAATGACATTCCAGAATCAGAATGTCCAGCTGCATTCCTGGAAAGAAATATTTCAAGGAAAAAATGAGTGAAAAAGGAATCAAGTTCAAACACGTTTGTCTTGCCATGATTAACTGGAAATTTTATGGGTAATTTTAAAGTTTATGATAAATATACCCTTTTTCCAAA